ATCTATTTTATTTGTATCTATTTAAGGTGCGTCTAATGATGAAAGCTCACTCATTTGTCAGGGAGAATGTACCAAGAGTCCTCGCATGGTGTAAAGAAAAAAATGGTACTTTTTGAATACAACCAGGTTTCCATTTACATTTATTATCAGACGGTGTGCTCACCTTTCCTCTCTGATGGCTTTTTGTTTGTTTGTTTGTGTTCATATATTTTCACTGTCATCTGCAGGCCCTGGTCCAGTGGTCCCTCAGGTTTCTCAGTATCTCTACTTCCTGTTTGCACCCACACTCATCTACAGAGACAAGTACCCCAGGTACTGTGTTTTGTTCTCTCTCATGGAGCATATATAGAACCCTTTTTTTGTTTTGTTTTACAGTAGAGCTGTAAAAGCCCCTTTCCTTTCTTGCCTACTACAGGAATCCGGTGATTCGGTGGGGCTACGTGGTCTCAAAATTACTTCAGGTACCAACCTCTGACACATTTATAGCAACTTCACTTAAATGTCCAAGCAGCTCATTACTTTTAAATTACATTTACTTTCTTGACCACTCCCACTCCACAGGTACTTGGCTGTCTGTTTTATGCCTATTACGTGTTTGTGCGGCTGTGCATACCTCAGTTTCGCAGCATCAGTCTGCAGCTGTTTGATCTGCGAGCCATGGTTCTCTGTGTCTTTAACTCAATCTTACCAGGTAAGATTAGAAACAAACTTTTGTGAAAACCTCATGTTTTATTTTTGATTTTATCTTTTCTCATATTTGAAGGCGAGAGATGTGTTATTGCTGTTTGTTGACCAATCATGTGTTTTTGGCAGGGGTGCTGGTCCTCTTCCTGGGATTCTTTGCCTTCCTCCACTGTTGGCTCAATGCTTTTGCTGAGATGCTTCGGTTTGCCGACAGAATGTTTTACAAGGTACTTGTTTTACCCTCGTTTTAAAATTTGGACTAAATCTTCTTTGTGCTCAGTGTTTGACTCGTGTGATTTTGACTACACGTTACAGGATTGGTGGAATTCGACCTCTTTTGCCAATTACTATCGCACTTGGAATGTAGTTGTCCATGATTGGCTGTACTACTACGTTTACCGGGACTTCCTGTGGGTAAGTGGCTCTTCTGTTGATGCAGCAGAGACTGTAAAAGCACACAATTGTAAACATGCACCAGCAGTCTTCATAAGTTTGCAGCTTGTTCAAAAATGTCTGAAATAAATTAATGCTAATGTAAGTGGAGTCAGTAATTTACTGAGTTTATTTAGCAGAGATGGAAAGGACACTGTACTCATAAATATACATGGATTAGTGTGTAATTATGTCTTCCAATAAACTGATGCATTCTCATAAACTGTCAGTTAATGTATTAAAAGTGCATAATGGTGGATTTGTGGTTTGTGGAAGCTGCCATGTTCCCTCACAGTATTTGAATACAATGGTTGGGAAAGACGTCTCCCTTCTGAATAATCGTGTTTTACATATGCGGCTAGAGGATGGCCACATGCATAAAAGTCTCTGGCGTTTGTGTGCCATGGATGTAAATTCATGTACGCACCTTCAGACATCATATCTGTGGCGTTCCCTTCACCAAAGAAACAAAAGCGCGAAGGAAAGAGACGCCACCCACCGGCATATTTTTAAATTGTCAAACAACGGGGAATAAACATGCTTGTTTATTGGTGAAATTTCTTATTGTCAGCAGATTACACATATATTCATCCTGGCTAAACCTCAAGCAGCTGTTTATAGGTAGGGATGGGTACCGACATAAACGGTAGTAACCAGACCGAAAAGCAGCGCACATTTTGGTGCTTTTTTTCCCTGAGATGTCACACACTTTGAATTCCAGCCAATCATTTTACCTTTCCAAGGATAGTAGGCGGGCCCAGGTACGTAGGTTCTTTTAGAGCAGAGCTACAGATTAAAAATGCCCAAGGCGAAGCGGTCAAAAGTCTGGCTGTACTTCACAGCAAAAGATGCAAACTCAGCAGCAACAAGTGCTTTAAGCTGATGCTGTGCAAAGGAGGTAACTCCTCGAATCTGATGAAATTTGGCACCGTTATCGGATAAAACCTAAACGATACCCATCCCTATTTATAGGTTGACATTATGCCAGGTAGTCTTGAGCTAAAGTGTCCTAAAAATCTGACTTTGCCTCTGTTAAACAGTTGGATTGCATTCTGAGTTTATTCACTAACAAAGTCCAGTGACTGACTAAAACATGTTTGTCGAACAGCAATCGTCAGAGCTTATATAAACTCAGACTGCAGTCTGTAATCCAGTGGCATCCAGCAGTGAGAACTTTACACGCTGTACTTTAAAAAACTTTCAAACTTAAAGTGGATTGTGCGTTTTGTTTTTTTTAACATTTGTGTTCATGTCTCTGTTTCCAGATCTCTCAGAAGCGCTGCCGACCAGCCGCCATGCTGTTCGTGTTTACAGTGTCTGCAGTGGTTCATGAGTACATTCTTGCAATTTGCTTTGGTTTCTTCTACCCTGTGCTCTTCTGCCTCTTCATGTGCTTTGGAAGTAAGAGACTTTGTCGCCTTTAATAAAAATGATATTACTTGAGTTGTACTGCATCAGATGATTGTGGTATCATGTCTGGGTCACGTAAACCCAGTCAAGTTAAATCTGTATGTCAGTTTTTCATTATCTTCTCTCTTTGTCCTCTCACAGTGATGTTCAACTTCATTTTGCATGACAAAAGGAAAGGCCCCATCTGGAACATAATCATGTGGACGTCCCTGTTCCTGGGTCAGGGAGTCATTATCTGTCTGTACTCTCAGGAGTGGTATGCCCAGCGCTACTGTCCCCTGAAGGAGGTACTGCTTATAAAAATCACATGATGTATATTCTTTCCAAAGATGCAGTGAAATTCAGTTATTCAGAGTGAGAGTAGACACAAATTCAGCTTTTAATTGTTATTTTTGTTCCAGCCTTCCTTTTTTGAGCTACTGAAGCCTCGCTCTTGGAGCTGTGAGAGGCCTGATGACAGACTCTGATGGGCTGTGACCTACAGCTGAGCTGCTGGGACGACGATTATTGCTGATCAGTATAAATGAGACCAGCCTGTCTGCTACTGTCACAACTTCTGGACTTTGTTTTATTTAAGGTTCATAGTTTATTTGAATGTATGGAAAAAGTCTCTGCCAAAAAAAAAGCCAGCAAAGTTATAATGATGCCTTATTTGTTTTAAGTTATCAACTCCAAAACAAAATCATCGTTCACACAACAGAACACGTGGACTCTTATTTTTATTCGTTCCTTAATCTTCTGACGTTTCCATATTCCCCTTTGCCTCGATAAACTGTGAAATCACTCCTTGTGCCATTATGAATGTGGCAATAGTGACATAGCAGCTGAATACAAACATTATTCACATATGCAGTAAAGTCTAATATTTAACAAGTGTTTACAGTTGCTACTCTACTGAAGGACAGTCGGTGTCACAGGATCAATGATATCTATTTCAGTGCCAATAAGAGTCAGTTTGAAAAAGACTGCCACTGTTTGCTGTTTTGTATAAAATCTTGATGTTTCAGTCAGTTAAAGAGGAAAACAGTGGGGACATTTCACTCACTAAGAAGTGGACCTGTGCAGAGTTAAACGCACCTAAGCTCCACATTTCCCGTTTTTCTGTTGATTTCCATGTATCAAGACACAAGTTGGAAGCAGGACATGCAATAATTGTATTTATACATAAAATTGTAGTTATAATCTAAAAATTTTGATCATGCACCGAATGTAAAGTGTGAAAGCGGAGCTTTATGGATCTACTAATATTGTGTGACTGGTGGATGTATTAATGATTAAGTTAAACAGGTTTGAACATACAATAACTGTCACTGAGGATAGTTAAGTGATGTGTTTTGTTCCGTGTTGCACAGTGATTTCAGAAATGTCTACTTCTGTAAAACTTGCAGTTGGCTGCTAAAATGTTTTAACACTGAGGTTGGAAGGACACTTGATCAGCACTAAGGGCTAAAACATTGTTATTTAAAGTGCACTGTTATGCATTTTGTTCTAGCCATTTCAGGTTAGTCAGACTTGGTTTCTGCTTTTAATTTTGAATGGGTTTCAGGCACTATTTGCATTATTTTGAATCAGCGGTCGTTACACATTGAAATGCATGATGACTGTGTTTATTTGTATGAATGAGACCTGCCATACAAAGTTAAACCAGCAATAGAATGTGCTCTTCTAAAAAGTAAGTGACCACAAGGTGGCACTGTTTTAAAGCGTTTATTTTTAATCTCTGCACATTTTAGCGAGAGATTTCCAGATTTCTTTTCCAAAATAATCAAATATAATCACAAGCAAACTGTTGTTAATATTTACAGATAACGCAGACATTTTCAGGAAGCTTTCACACAGCTTCATCCCTTTACGATTTTATGAATAAATAGAATATTTATTACAGTGAAAGGCCAAATTGTATAAATCCTGTTTATTTGCATAAGAGGTTTATTTTCGGGGACCAGAGCTTTTCCTACTTACTGTGGTGTTTGTGTTCATTGTTATGTCTTCTGGCATTGAATCGACATGGGTATCGTGTCACGTGACATTTTTATGAATCATGTCTATCTTTGGATTGTAGACAAAGTTTTGATTCATTCTTTGCGCATCATGTACAAACTGAAGAATTTAAATAAAATGAAAGTATTTTATTTACACATTTTATTCAAGTGTATGTAATAGCCCATGTGGAAAATAAATAATGTCTTTATTGTGTTGATTTACATGTTTAAATTTCAAATACAGGTGTCTACGTTTAAATAACCTCTTGAAATCTGAAGAATATATGAAAAGGTATGCTGTTATACGTGTATTGACTTCAGATGTTTGAGCTGTATTTTTTTAATAAAGGAAATATATCCGTTTAATATTGATGAGTACATCGACTATATCATCTTAGTCATATGTTAATTAAACTTGGTAATCACATTCTTTTAAAAGTGGGGAAGAACTTCTAAACTTTTTAGTTTTTCTACATGTCCCCTCCAGCGGTGTAGGTGCGGGTGCAGGGGAACTGTTGGGACCAGGTTGGAGGTGGAGGATCACGCTGACAGTGGATAGTGGATCCAGGCGAACCCCCCGCCTTGTGCAACACACATCTTCTATTCTGCGGTAAAGATGGCGGCGTCAGAGGGGGCGCGCAGCGGCCGCACAACGGCAAAACGATTCTAACTAGCTTCAATTTGACCGAATATAGCCAACCGGGTGTCTTTTATTACTACTCGGATGCCACCCGGAGCAAGGAATTAGAGGCAGTCGCTGTCACACGCCGGGGTTGGGATTTTATTGTTAAAGGCAGGGTGGGTGGGTTTCACTGATAGCAGCTAACGTTAGCTAACGGGCTAGCTAGGCGAGCTAACACGGGCTAGTTTTACTTTAGCCCACTGAAAGAACGGCGGGGAAGGGATTGAGGAAGAGTATTCGGGCCAGGCCGCTCCAGCTTTGGGGGAATGTGAACCAGACGCGCGCAGGGGGGTTTGCTTGCTTCGTCCTCACGCCAAACTACCGGGATGGGACAGCAGGTTGGCCGAGTCGGTGAGGGTACATCGACCGGGCTCCAGCCACCACAGCCCCACGCGCCCCAACCACACCAAGGGAAGGGGAACCGGGGGAGCGGCGTCGGGAGGAGACCCCGGGAACCCGGCAGTAGCACCGGGACACCGCCAGGCAGGACAGCTCCAGTCAATGTGCCCGATCCAGGCATCAATATATTCACGCAGCATTCAGGTAAAGAGAAATAAGTAGCTGTCAACCTACAAGCGGAGATAAAATCTAATTTGGTTTTTTTTTCTTTTCTGCTGATTCGCTAATCGACTCCATGCTATTTGACAACGACGCGTTAGCGGAAATAGCCATGCCATCCAACATTAGCTTTCCATGCCTCATCCATTTTACTGTGTGTTAATTTCGCTATTGTTTGTGTATGCACACAGAAGTCAGTTATTTACTGAATAGTGGTAACAAGATTGCCGTGATTTCACACCAAGTCATTACTTTGTTGGGGCGTATGAATGTGATGCATGTCACCAAATGATCCGAAAAGAGGTGTACTGTTCCTAAAGAGAGGAAGAGTCTTCTGTGCTCGATTCAAGGGGTCATACCCAGAGGTTAACTTGTTTCCTCCAAGGCCCCTCTATGTGATACCCGGTTTGGAAACACTGATTCTTGCCTCCAGTGGTTGACTAACAATTCCACTCCATTAACTCACAATAGAAACCACCTCAGGCTCACATTACAGCACCTAGTGGGTTTCACATGCTCGCTTCTATCCTCTGTCTACTGTTACAACAGGCTCAGCAAGATGACTGCTCAGATTGATCTAATGGGAAACGTGTCAATTATTTAAGTGACCTTCTGTGATTATATGTTGACACCGAGGAAACATCAAGGTTTAAGGCTATTCCTTTCTTGTTATACTGTTTTTGTCATGTCTGTCCTCAAGATCAGATAATACATAAGGTAACTCATGATTTAAAAAAAAAAAGAAAAAAGGCAATGTGGGTTTGGGCCCCACAAAAAACAGAGGAGGTGCTACCCGTGTTTCAGCTTCAAAGCAGTGTATTCAAGTTGATATCTGCTTGCAGATCTTCAGTATCTTTCTCTTTTGAGTCATGGAGAGTCGGCGCGCCTTCTTCCTCAAAGCCCTCTCAGCTGGTTGCTTAATGAGACTTCTGGGGTTATAAGTAATGGAGGCTATAGCATATCCATTAGGTTTGCATGATCTCATATTCATTATAATGCATTTTATTCTCAAAGAGCTTCTCCTAATTGTTTGCTCACACATCTTGATTGAACACTCTGCTCTGAACGTAACCTCGGTCAAAAGTTTGATGTGTACATGCTGCTGTCTTGGTTTCTCATTCGTTTGTGCCCTTGAATGAATGTTTACGTCACACATGCCGCATATATGTAGAACTGCTGGCATAACTCGCCTAGTTTTTTCCACTGATGTCCCAGACCAAACGCCCTCCCATCACTGCAGTGAGCAAGGACACATGGAAGGTGCAACCTTTTGGGAATGGAAAGCATTTTTAGTTCCTGGCTCTCACATCTCAAAAGTAACAGTCCTCAGCTTGAAGTGCATACACAGACAGGCAGACCCACTAAGTGCAACACCGCTCACTGTCGGCACTGTTCTGTTTTCTCCAGTGTCGGGGCAGGAGTAGCCTTTTTATAGCATCCAGGATGCAGTCACACAGCCACTCTGCAGAGAGACTGCTACTCTTCAAAGCACACAATAATAGAACAAAGACTCTTAAGTGAGGAAGCTTGGAACTGTGCTCTCAGTCTTTCACTGAATATAAAACTGCCTCTTTGCTGGTAGTCTATTCATGCGATAATGATATAGCATTATCTTACATTTTAAAGGAAGCTCTTTTGATTATTAGGAAGTAATATCTCATTGTTTAGGCTAAAACAAAAGTGGTTGCTAGTTTGTAAATAGCATTAGCAAATCCAATATATTTGCACTTTAAAAGCTGAAATTTGTGTCACTGTTGCAGTTTTAGTATGACCAAAAGCCACAAAGCAACTTGTTGTTTTTGCATAATGTTTTGTGAGGTATGGAAGCTCCTTCAGTTCATATTGTTTATCATTATTTTGTGAGAAAACAAATACATTTTAAGTCAGTTATATAGTTTGAGATTGCTTATCTGTTCACTTGGACATCAAAGTTGAGATGCGTTTGATTGATCCTATGTGGGAAAATTCCGGTTCCATTGCAGCAAAATTAAATGTTAATATATTGTGTGAGTCAACCAAGTAGGTGAGGTTTTTCTTTTTTGCAAAATTACTCTTTGATGTACAGTAATGTGCAAAAAACTTGAGTCAGGCTTAATTTATTTATATTTTGTTTCCAAGCAGCCAGATGTTCTTGTCATTTATGGGGTTTTTTTTGTTTTTGTTTTAAGTGTTGTTGAGCAATAGTGCTCCAGGCCTTCTGAAGGTTTTTTCCTAAAGAACTTTTCTTTGGAAGTTGGCTGCCTTGTCACTCATATTCAGTACAGTCCTAAGAATTTAGAGCGAGAGGTTTTTGTTTGTAAAGCTGCTTAACACTGTGCTATGAGTCATTCAGGAATATGAGGTGCCTAACCCATAGGTACACATAAGAAATAACTTGTTCTTTAATAAAGAACCAATTTTAAATTGTATGTTTTGGCAGCCTGTTGTAAAAACAACCCCGTTTCTGTAGTTGAGTCTATGAAAAATGCCAATGATAAAACAGTTTGACAGACATAAAATTGCATTTTTGCACTGACAAGGTGATTCCTAAAGAACTGTTGGGATATCTTAACATGGTGTGGATGTGGTGGTCGGGGAGGGGGGGGGTTACAGTCAGTACTGCATGGTGTATCAAACCCCATCTAGAAAGCATCTGACTGGTAAGACCTTCATTATTTAGCATAACAGTGTACTCAAACACACTGCCAGTGCAATAAAAGCACACCTGGTTAGAAAAACACATTATCAGGAAACACTATCAGTCATGGATTGGCCTCCTCAGAGCGCAGACCACAACATTACTGAAGCATTGTGGGATCGTGTTTACAAAGAACTGAACAAAAGTGAGCCAGCATTCAAAGAATAGGTTTGAATATCCTTCAAGAAGCCAGCAAAACTATTCCTGAAAGCTGCTTAAAGTAATTACAGGAACGCTTGCATAACAGACTTCAAGTTGTGTTGAAGAATAAAGGTGGTCATATGAAATACTGACTCTTAAGGTTGTTGGAACTGTATAAAATCTGTTTTTGACATATATCACATTTCCATGTATATTTGTAGGTTTCAATAAACCAGTGTATCCGCTTTGCCATTTTCATAGGATAATGTAAAAATGGCAGGTGTAAGATCTTTTGCACAGTACTGTAATGTTTATGTATGGCTTGCCAGTCGCACCAGCAGGACTCATGGCGGGTAGTAACATGGTGTGCTATCTCCTACAGCGTGGAGACCACAAGAGAGGGCATCTGAAAGTTTACTGAGTGACCTACACACCCCTATAGAAGTCTGATTAGCCTAGCAGCAGACACATTAGCCCAACAGCAAACATCTATACTGGATATACCCCAGAGGAATGTGTGTTTACCCTCAATTCCCAGATTGGAAGTTTGTTCTCCATCGCTTTGTTGTTGTACTCCAACACAACAGCCTCAGCATCAGTTCCAGTCGGTGCACGTCCACTAAGAGTGTCAGCAGTCATTGCACTCCTGAGATATGTATTTAAGTGTCGAACAGCTGAAGGAGCGCTTAGCACTGTTAGTGGATATGGGCAGATGTCATAAATGTAGGCCTCCATAGTTCACGGTCCACAGAATAATGTTAGCAGTACTAACTATGCAGACTCTCAAAAAGTCCTAAATGTTTAGGATGTTTTCAGTATTCAAAAATGTCTAAAATGACACGTTTGGTGATTTCTCAGCTGCTTATTTGCTTGCTAACGCACAAAAAAAGGACAAAAACAAAAACTCCAACGATGCCAGGCCGGCAATTAAGCATCACAAAGTTTGACCAGGCAGTGACCCTGTATCCACTGACATTAACCCCAATTATCAGCTTTAATATGTATTTCCATCATAGCATTAGTGAGAGTATGCAGCCCAAAAAAACCAAAACATCGTAAACACAACCGTTTAAAAATCCTAAAATACAGATTTTTATTTTTTTAACTAATTGAAAAAAGTTTTTTAAATGTATGCATTACTGGTTACACATCTGTGGGATTATGGCTGTTGACACCACTGAAAGCTACAAGTTGCATTAATCCTGCTTCTACATAACAAACTTTATAACAGACTAGCATACTTCTTGGGTTTAATGATGCCTTCTTGAGATGTAATTGAAAGGTGCCAGTCTATGAGGAATGCATGTTTGTCTGCTGAACTCATGCTTCTGTGTTGCTGCCTGTCTTTCTCGTGTCAGAGGGTATTACACGAGCACATGCTTTCTAGAGTTTTTATCAGTATGCCGCATTTGTCGTTTTAGGGTGACAAATGAGGCCGGGCCTGTTGGTGTAAATTGGCTGTCGATATGCTTGGCTCAAGGACTCTGTTTTCGCTCTGAGACATCTGTAAATTGCAGCTTTGGGCAGGCTTTCTCTTTAGTGAATTTAAAAAAAGGTGACTCTGCCCTTGTCCCCTGCTGAAGGTTTCCTCAGTTCAATTCTAATGTGGCATCATTGTCTACAAATAAAACCCTGGGAGAAAGACAAGCCGGCTTTAAAAACGCTCAGCTGAACGAGGAGCAGACTGCCTCTGTGCTGATGCAAAGAAAGCTGGTCAAACAGTCGCCTCTCTGGGTTATTGGTTCAGTTGCAGTATTGGTGAATCAGTGGCTGCAACATATTGATGGTCTCCCTCTTCAGCACTGTCAGGAGTTCAGAGATGTCATGTCTGCAGTGGGTTCATCTGATACACTGCAGTGAGGGGAGTGTCCTGTGCTCTTGTAGAAGAGCAAATGTGCTGATAAACTGTGAATAGAATTTCTGATTCAAGGTTGTGCTGCAGTTTGTCACCCTTCACAACACCTTTATATAAGATAACCTACATTTAAAGGTGTAAAGAAAACCCACACTCCTTCTGAAAGGTTTATAAATTCAACAAAATAACAGTCTGATCTATTTTTACTCTAAACAGATCAGAGAAACTGGGACAGATCAGTAGATTGGATTTTTTTTCCTCTTAAACTGTAGTACTGATGACGCACATGGAGCCAGCTCTATCTACAATACA